CAGAATACAGATTTTGCTGACCTCAAGCCGGCATCTTAGGGGTCACAACTCACGTGTGCCCCTGAGGGTCCCAAGTCACACTTCTTATGTCCCTATGTAGGGTACTTTGGTTTTCGACACAAACTCCGAGTGTTCACACTGTTATCTGAGGGTTCTAGGCTCACCCTGGGCCTGGTCTTTTAGCGCCCTCCACCCACACTGGCTTCTGAGGGCCTCACCTCGGACCGGGCACCCCCTGAGATCGATACAGATCGAATGCCTGCGAGGTCGGGCCCGGTTGGAGCGTGCAGTTCATGCCAGAGCCAGAGTCTTAGTCTCCAAAATCGTCAAGACTCCGACTCCAGATCGGAAAGCTCTAAAGTCCCACATACGTGTACACGTTTATGTTTGGGGTAACCCACGCGGAACTCCGGGATCATACCTAAGCAAGCTTCCGAGAGCCCACACTGATCATGAGTGGCCTAAAATGGCCTGGAAATCCCAAGCCTACCTTTAAGGGATACCTTGCCGCAATGCCGTGTGCAATTTTTGGTTCCGTAAAACCTGTTTTGTTCGCGTTTGCACCGCATCCCTACCCTACCACAGACGAAAACGGGCGAAAAAAAGTGAACAAAACACTTCCCCTCACTGGAGCAAAGATTATTTACTTCCGATTCACACTTCAGACATTCACTCTCCGCCAAATGCCCAACTTAGCAAAGTCGGCGGCTGGGATAAGCCCTATGCGTTTCACGTAGAACCTCTGCATGCGTGAATATAGGCTTTAGCATGGTGATCCGATTACCTAAATGGAGCATTTTTAACTTCTGGGTGATGATCATGAGCGACGACTGACGAGCATCTGCAAAGGGGCACTCTGCGAGTGGGTTGAAAATCGCAGTCTCTCTGCAATAATTCTACCGGTTGTTGTTTTCTGTCCAAATTTTCATTTTGTTATTATTTTTTTCTGTAAAAATTACATGTCATAGCTAGAAGGAAAACTGTCATTACATCTATGGTTTGTACGACGCGTCGTTTTAACGAAACAAACGCGATGCTGGTAAAATCAGTGTAGTATGTACAAGCTTGGTAAATGGTGTTTTAAAGTTATTGCAGAAAAACGTTTTCCGCAAACACGTCAAATTTTAACTTTCTGTCTCCTGAGGCTGTACCGTTATGTGAAGTTTTAGAAGATTGCTCAGAAAGAAATTCGAAAGAGCCATCGGATGCGCTTTTCCGCGGTGATGTAGCTCTATTCATTCCCGAGTCATGTAGTGGTTTGTAGAAAAAAAGTCAAATCGGGATTTTTGTGGTGATAACTTTACGTTATGTTACCTCCAGTGACCTCAGCGAAGATATGCTAAAAATGACCTTAAAAGTTCTGAAGATCTAATAGATCTATTGCCAAATTTTGCCTTTCTTGCTCTTTTACTCTCCCAGATAACCGAATGCGGCCAGAAACGACCAGAAACCCCCGCCCACCAATGGCGAAGTTACCTTGCCTTACGGTTTCGGGATTATTAGACATGGTGGCCTGTAGGTACCTACTACCGGTTCTTATGGAGCTCCCTCCTGGTATTGTGGCCTTTCATATATCAGCATCAGATGTGGAGTATGTGATGCAGGACCGGTGTGCGTCCAGTCACTGGCGGATCCAGGGGGGGGGGGGCATTTAGGGCCATGGCCCCCCCCCCCCCCAAAGGCCTAAAGTGGCCTGTTTGGCCCCCCCCCCAAAACGTCAGAAAAATTGCTAAGAAAATATACCTTGATGGAGGTTTTTAGCCACTTGGTGAAGAAAAGCTTTCCACAGCATAATATGGAAGCAATATGGTAGCAGTGAGGGTCAGTCAAAAGTTGCGCGAGCGGAGTCGACCTTCAAAAAAAGACTGTTGTTGGCACGTGTTTATGGCGCGGCAGCTGGCAGTTGGCGGTGTTTCGCGTGGTGTGGCATCACTGGCGGATCTAGGGGGGGGGGGCACAGGAGCCTGAGGTGCCCCTGACAGGCCCGTGGTGCCCTTGCTAGGCCTGTGGTGCCCCTGGACCCTGGCAGGCCTGTGGTGCCTCTGACGGGACTAGGGTGCCCCTGCTAGGCTGCTGATGCCCCTGGGACCTGACAGGACTGTGGTGCCCCTGACAAGCCCAAAGTGCCCCCAACAGGCTTGTGATGCCCCCGACAGGCCCAAGGTGCCCCTGCGTGATGCCGTGATGCCTGCGAGGCCGGTGGTGCCCCTGCGAGGCCGGTGGGGCCCCTGACAGGCCCATGGTGCCCCTGCTAGACCGGTGGTGCCCCTGGCAGGCCTGTGGTGCCCCTGCTAGGCCGCTGGTGCCCCTGGGCCCTGACAGGACTGTGGTGCCCCTGACAGGCCCAAGGTGCCCCTGCAAGGCCGGTGGTGCCCCTGCAAGGCCTGTGGTACCCCTGCTAGGTCTCTGGTGCCCCTGACAGGCCCATAGTGCCCCTGCGAGTCCGGTGGTGTCCCTGGCAGGTCTCTGGTGTCCCTGACAGACCTGGGGTGCCCCTGACAAGCCTGTGGGGCCCCTCACAGGCCTGTGGTGCCCTTGCTAGGCCTGTAGTGCCCCTGGCGGGCTGGTGGTGCCCCTGCTAGGCCGGTGGTGCCCCTGACAGGCCTGTGGTGCCCCCGGGTACCAAGGGGGGTCATGACCCATGTGGCCCCCCTTGGATCTGCCACTGACACATAATATATTGATTTGTAAAGGCGTTATGGCTTATGCAATATGCAATTGCAGGCACTTGATATCCCTCACTTATCCCTCATTGGGGGCTCTGGCGGGCTCCTGAGGGCCCACGTCTATCTCCGGGAGCCCTAGACGGGCTCCTTTGGGTCCTTTCAGTCCACTATAGCATAAGAGGTCTCCACGCGAGTCCTATACATCTGAGGGCGTACCCTGACGTCTGAGGTACCCAACTGCAGCTCCACTGGTCTCTTACACTGGCGGATCCAGGGAGGGGGCATTTAGGGCCATGCCCCCTTCCCAGAGGCCTAAAGTGGCCCGTTTGCCCCCTCCCCCAAACGATAATGAAACATAGTTCAATCAGTGCGTGGCCCAGGAGCCGAGTTAGACAGGGGGTGTTTTACCACCTCCCGGCCCGCAAAGGGACCCAAGCACTGACTCGAAGCGGGTTAACTGGTCGACAAAAGCAATGGTAAGTGTTTACAAAGTAATATAAAGGCATGGGTCGGGTGGGCTATCATGTATATATTTTTCTTTTTAGTTTAAAAAAAAAAATCATAGTGTCAGGGCTGTGACGAAAAATAAGTGGCCTAAATCCGATGAGAAAACAGGATTTGGGGGTACCCTAGGTTTGGCTCCTGCATGAGTTGGCCCCCCCCCAAAACGCAAGCCTGGATCCGCCAGTGCGTCCAGTCTCGCCTTGAAGCAGTTAGCTTAGCGAGGGTGCACAAACCACTTCGGAAGGGAGTCCATTCCAGTCGTTCACGACTCGGGCAGCAAAGGAGTACCTACCGCCTCAACCTCGAGGCTGCTGGAAACTTCTAGATTTTAAGCTGGTCGTCTGATTAACCCGCGACCCGTTGGGGGGGGGGGGGCAAAGGCCCCCCTGTGGTTTTTCGGAGATAACTCAGAAACGGCAGCGAATTTCGACTTGAAACTTTCAGTATCTCTCTGGACATCAATTTTACACAACCCTTGAAAAATTAGGTCCCAGGTCATCGCAGGTCACGAGCTATAGAGGTCAAACTGAGGTCATGTTCGGCGATTTTTCGTCGAAAAAGTTGTTCACGGAGAAAAATCGCAGAAAATCAGGATTTTACCTTAGCGACTCAAAAATTGGATCGTAGGTATAAAAAGTATGGCGAACAAAATAGCTATCACGAAATTTCCAAAATATAAAAATCTCTAGATCTAGGGATTTTCTCACTCAAAATTTAGATTTTTTGAGATATTTTTGAAATTTTGGGAAATTTTCCAAAAACCGGAATAGATGTTAGAGAACCCTTGATTGGCCCTACACATGCCAAAAAATAACAAAATATCTAAAACTGCCTGAGATATAGCCATTTGAATGACTGAAAAAGTAGCGATTCTTTTTATGACGTCACAACATTTTCGGTATTTGTGCTTGAAATCAGTCAGTAATATTTATGATTCTTATCAACCTTTTGCTGACTGAATATGATCCTTTACGTGACTTAAGTCACTTTTACGTAAAAAAATGTTTTTCGTTGTAAACCGGTACAATTTGACCTTATTTGACCTTCCTGTGACGTCACAGGTCCAAGAAAATGGTCAAGGAGGTTTCTGTGGATGCATATATATATATATGGCATGTCTTCATAAAGATTCAAATATTCACAATTTAACATGCTTTTCCTTACGATTCACCAAAGTGTTTTCTGATTGGTCGAGGCTGACCCCTGTTTTGACGTCACAGGTCATCATCCACTCAGGTGACTACTGACTATCCACATGCCAGATCTATCATAGGTATACATCATATTCAGACTCATTTTGAAAACTTAGATTTCATTTTTATGACCGACTTCTCGTCATTGTAAATTGGACTGATTTGACCTTATTTGACCTCCCTGTGACGTCACAGGTCAAATATCAAGGTCATCAATATCCTATCTTGTGCATCTCGATAAGCTCTTTCGATTGCCGTTTGAATTTTTCCGATCCGGCTATTGGTTCCGGAGATACGACGGGGGGCCCCTTGCCCCCCCCCCCCCAGCCCCCAACAGGACGTGGAACCTGCCAGACCTCAACGGGGCGCGGGTTAAACGAACTGTCCCAAGTCGGCTGAGAGCAGACCCTCACCAGAGCGCGGGTTAGAGGTGTTACTTCAGCAGATCAACTTGGTTACCCTTGCCTTTGCACCCGTAACCGTAGGTCACTCGGCCGAGCCGTCGTTGAGAAGATGTAGGCCTCTCAAAAGTGGCACAGGTCCCACTGGGACGGTCCGTATCTTCTGTGAAGGTAAATAGATAGGTCAAGGTGGAATATATACGACATACAATTACATACGCTTCTTTTCTTCGCAGATACCAAGCCGCCTCAAATGACAACATTATTAAGAGTCGAACTCTTTGGGAGCCTTTTCGGGAGGTGCTTTCTGACCATGCCTTGGGAGCAGAGAACCATGTTGTTGAGGAAACACCGAAGGATGACGTAAGTCGTGTCGCAAGTAACCGCTCTTTATATGGTATTGATTAACTGGGACAGAGACAGCATGACATTCAAAATAGTTATTTGACACTTAGGTTCGTTTATTTTTATTGGTAGCTTTTGAAATGCGTTTGCCTTCTGATGTCTTCAGCCTGTCTAAAAGCAATGAGACACACAATACACTGGTGTAGACTGCACATACATAAACAGGGTACCGTATGGGACAAAACGTTTTATCTTGTCTTTACATTGTTTCAGCATGCCCTTACCTGTGTATTGTGTGCGTTTTACTGCTTTTAAACAGGCTGTAGAGGAAAGATGAACGCCTTTCGAAAGATGCTGATTAGGTATACCTAATAAACGAAACTGGTGAATGATTTTGAGTGATATAACGGCTCTCACTATTTCCACAGGGTGAAAGGGACCCTCCCACCTTAACATTAGATTTGAGTTGAGATAGCCAAAATGGGGTCCCTGGCTCACAATGGTATTATGATAGCAGGCGTCTCACATGCTGCCACCGGTTGGGAAAAGTCGCTAGATTCGTCAGGTCTAGAGATATTTCTACCAAGTCGCTATATAGGGTAATCACATAGCGGCGATTTCAAAAACGGAGTCAGTTTTTTCTGAGCTGGCGGGGGGGCGTTTGGGGGTATTGCCCCCTTGCCGATAGCTCGGGAACGGCTGATCGGAGCCAGGCTTGCAAGGTGGCGTTGGAAAGCGGTCGAGTAGACAAGCCTAATTAGTAATGCAAACTATCATCGGGATACTGGGGGGGGGCGTAGGGGGGGATTGCCCCCCTTGCCGATAGCTCGGGAACGGCTGATCGGGGCCAGGCTTGCAAGGCGGCGTTAGAAAGCGGTCGAGTAGACAAGCCTAATTAGTAATGCAAACTATCATCGGGATACTGGGGGGGGGCGTAGGGGGGATTGCCCCCCTTGTCGATAGCTCGGGAACGGCTGATCTGAGCCAGGCTTGCAAGGCGGCGTTGGAAAGCGGTCGAGTAGACAAGCCTAATTAGTAATGCAAACTATCATCGGGATACTGGGGGGGCGTAGGGGGGGATTGCCCCCCTTGCCGATAGCTCGGGAACGGCTGATCGGGGCCAGGCTTGCAAGGCGGCGTTGGAAAGCGTTCGAGTAGACAAGTCACTATCATCGGGATACTAGGGGGTGCGTTTGGGGGGATTGCCCCCTGACCGATAGCTCGGGAACGGCTGATCGGAGCCAGGCCTGCAAGGCGGCGTTGGAAAGCGTTCGAGTAGACAAGTCACTATCATCGGGATACTAGGGGAAGGGGGGTGCGTTTGGGGGGATTGCCCCCCTTGCCGATAGCTCGGGAACGGCTGATCTGAGCCAGGCTGGCAAGGCGGCGTTGGAAAGTGGTCGAGTAGACAAGCCTAATTAGTAATGCAAACTATCATCGGGATACTGGGGGGCGTAGGGGGGATTGCCCCCCTTGCCGATAGCTCGGGAACGGCTGATCGGAGCCAGGCCGTTCCCGAGCTATCGGCAAGGGGGGCAATCCCCCCTACGCCCCCCCCCCGTAACCCGATGATAGTTTGCATGACTAATTAGGCTTGTCTACTCGACCGCTTTCCAACGCCGCCTTGCAAGCCTGGCTCCGATCAGCCGTTCCCGAGCTATTGGCAAGGGGGGCAATCCCCCCTACGCCCCCCCCCCCAATATCCCGATGATAGTTTGCATTACTAATTAGGCTTGTCTACTCGACCGCTTTCCAACGCCGCCTTGCAAGCCTGGCTCCGATCAGCCGTTCCCGAGCTATCGGCAAGGGGGGGGGGGGGCAATCCCCCCCTACGCCCCCCCCCAGTATCCCGATGATAGTTTGCATTACTAATTAGGCTTGTCTACTCGACCACTTTCCAACGCCGCCTTGCCAGCCTGGCTCAGATCAGCCGTTCCCGAGCTATCGGCAAGGGGGGCAATCCCCCCAAACGCACCCCCCTTCCCCTAGTATCCCGATGATAGTGACTTGTCTACTCGAACGCTTTCCAACGCCGCCTTGCAGGCCTGGCTCCGATCAGCCGTTCCCGAGCTATCGGCAAGGGGGGCAATCCCCCCTACGCCCCCCCCCCCCCCAGTATCCCGATGATAGTTTGCATTACTAATTAGGCTTGTCTACTCGACCGCTTTCCAACGCCGCCTTGCAAGCCTGGCTCCGATCAGCCGTTCCCGAGCTATCGGCAAGGGGGGCAATCCCTCCAAACGCCCCCCCCCCCGCCAGCTCAGAAAAAAACTGACTCCGTTTTTGAAATCACCGCTATGTGATTACCCTATATAGCGACTTGGTAGAAATATCTCTAGACCTGACTAATCTAGCGACTTTTCCCAAACCGGTGGCAGCATGTGAGACGCCTGCTATAACAATACCCTCACAATTACCGGTTTCGGCACTCACAACATCGAGAAATGCCTTAAATCGGAAATATTGAATTTCAAAATTGCAGCATTTTGATTCAGAGGGCTAATGCATAGGAATACCCCTCTGAATGTGTGACGTCAGCGCAGATATCTAACGATTTTTAAATGTTTGACTAAAACGTTTTGTAGCACGCGGTGGTATATGCTGCTTTGCGCGCAACAAATGCCGCACTTTCAAATAAAGTCCCTAGGAACAGCGGATATCCCAAAAAGTAAACAAAAGTAAAAGTCTAATATCTTGAAAACCGGTGAATATTTTTCGATGAAATTTGGTAGATATTTGTTTTTGCTCTTTCTGAACCGAGTGACATCACTTTCATGCCAATTCATTAACTTTCTTGAAGGTGGGAGGGTCCCTTTAATACGTTAGGTGTTGCGGGGATGAATAATTACACTGATGTAGCCGCTAGAGTGACACCTAGTGTTGTCTAGGCATGTTCTGCTTTGTGGTTTGACGCCGCCATTGTCATGATCTAATGGCGCGACCTGTACCATGACCGGTCGGCGCGACGTGTACCTGTCGGCCCGACCTGTACTTTGACCGTACAATCACTCCGTTGACACGTATGTGTTACGGCTGCCCTGGTTTTGCGTCCTGTCTGTCATTTCTGTGCGCTGGTCTTGTGCCATGTCTGATTTATTTCACCTTTGCCCTGTCCCTGTGGGGCTGTGTGTTTACCTGTACCCTGACGGGTGACCGGGCACCGGCAGGGCGCCGGGCGCGCCGCGCGCTTCTGGGGCGTCTCGCCGGCGGAGGCGCACGAGCGCGCCGCCGACGCGGTGACGCCGCTGTGGCGACTGGCCTACCCGCGCCAGCTGGAGGTGAAGCAGGCGCGCGTGACGGCGCTGCTGCGCCAGCTGGCCGGCCGGCTGCCCGCCACGGAGCCGGCGGCCGGCGGCCGGCGCCGCTCGGCGCTGCCCTGCCGACTGGACACCATAGTACCCTCGGTCAGTACCAGCTCCCCTAGCCACCGGCGCTGCCCTGCCGACTGGACACCATAGTACCCTCGGTCAGTACCAGCTCCCCTAGCCACCGGCGCCGCTCGGCGCTGCCCTGCCGACTGGACACCATAGTACCCTCGGTCAGTACCAGCTCCCCTAGCCACCGGCGCTGCCCTGCCGACTGGACACCATAGTACCCTCGGTCAGTACCAGCTCCCCTAGCCACCGGCGCCGCTCGGCGCGCTGACCTGCCGACTGGACACTAGAGGTGGCAAAATGTGGACCCGAGGACCCGGTCCAAAGAACCAGTCTGGACCCATATGAGTCCAGACCGGTTCCTGGATATTTTCTGACGGGTCCAACCGGGTCCTACCATAAACTATGCATCTTGCACACTACACATTATTGCAAAATATGAAGTGAATGAAGTGAATGTTTCTTTGCACACTATGAAGTGAATGAAGTGAATGTTTCTTTGCACGCAGTAGCTCATGAGTATTCCCAGTGGGAAATGGGCTGTTTTACATGATGCAACTAATGATTCCTTCAAGTAGCTTGTATTAATTGACTTTTGGGGAACGGGTCCAACTGGTTCCGGTTCCAACTAAGACCGGGTCCGACTGGTTCCAGAAATGTCCAGCCGGGTCTGGTTCGAGTCTGGTTCCCAAAATTTTCATCTTTTGCCACCTATACTGGACACCATAGTACCGTCGGTCAGTACCAGCTCCCCTAGCCACCGGCGCTGCCCTGCCGACTGTACACCATAGTACCCTCGGTCAGTAGGAGGGGGGGGGGGGGGCGTTTCGCCCTCCCCCCTCCTAAGATCTCAAAGCTACCGGCCGATTTTCAAAATTCAAACGGCGTTCGATAGCCCCTCCGGGGTTGTACCTTGTGAACCAATTTCATTGACCTCGATCCAACTGATGACGTCACAGGTCAGGCGAAAGGTCGCATTTCACCGTTTACAGGTATTTGAAGAAATGTGTTGTAAAATCGAGTAAAAGGCGTGTTATTGAAAATCGTCGATGGACAATTGTTCGTCAAACACATACTTTGCTATTTGAGGTCTTTGATACCAGGTCAGGTCACAGAGGTCAGGTCACTGAGGTTCACAATATGAAAGTGTCGTGTGATACATGTTTAATGGTCCATTTTACATGACAAATGCGATTATGTGGGTCAGGCGACCTTTGGGGCCAGTTCAGGTTATGACTTATGTTCTGGTGAAAGTCGGGTCAACCCAGTAAACATGCCGACGTCGGCCCGACGTCGGCCCGACGTCGGGCCGAGGCTCGGCCCCACGTGGGCCCAAAGTCGGTTCAACCTCGGCCCGACATCGGCTGGACGTCGGGTACGCCCGCATGTACCGACGCCCAGCCGAAGTCCAGCCGACGTCGAGCCGACGCCGGGCCGAGGTCGTTTGCCGAGGTTGACGAGATCGTTCGTCGTTGGACCGATGGGGCCGACGTCGGCATGTTTACTGGGACAACGCGCCAAAAAGATCAACCGGCGGCGGGATTCGAACCCCTCCCCCCCCCCCCAGTCGCCGACGTCGGCATGTTTACTGGAACAACGCGCCAAAAGCATCAGCCGGCGACGGTATTCGAACCCCTTGCCATTTGAACGCGAGACTAGTGTGCTAACCATTACACCACGCAACGAGATGGCAATTTGAGTTTGTTTTGTTGGGTTATACCCTTTCGGTCTGACAGGACTATTTCAGAGCCGGACGGATGATAGGATGGAGACATTGGTCTTGGTGAGCACCCTGGGTCCAGTTCATTAGAGTCCCATTGCTGTTACGTGACACTTATTGGAAAGGGCGACCCGACAAATGGATTCATTTAGCCACCCTTACACGCCTGCACCAACGTTTCCAAAAGTGTCCCTTTGATAAGTGGCACTTTGGTTTGGCAAAGTGACACTTGCCGACTGGCCTTTCTATATGAACTGGGCCCGGCCCTGGTGGGTTGCCGGGGCTGAGCCTGACCAAAGGATAGGCCGAGCAGCCCCCAAGCACTCACCGCACCCGGCTACTGGCGAGCTGGGCTTACGGGCAATCCCAAATGCGATAGTTTCTCGTCCAGTCCGGATCAGGGGGTTGCGGCGTGGAGGAAGATTTGACTTTCCTGAGGATATTTTGAACACAGAAGCTCTTTATGAAACATGAAACATGCATTTTATATTATTTTAACGGTCAAAACAGCGGCCGATGTCGGTCCGACGTCGGCCTGACGTCGGCTGGACCTCAGCAATTGATCTCGGTCCGACGTCGGCCCGACGTCGGCTGGACCTCAGCAATTGATCTCGGTCCGACGTCGGCCCGACGTCGGCTGGACCTCGGCTGGACGACGGTACATGCGGGCGTACCCGACATCCAGCCCACGTCGTGCCGAGGTTGGACCGACGTCGGCTTGCCGATGCCGAGATGCCGACGTCACCCCGACGTCGGGCCGACGTCGGCATGTTTAGGTACTGGGAAGGTCCAAGTCAAATTTTGTCACATTTTAAAGCTGATATTTTTGCATGAAATGGGTATCGATTCGATGCAGCTCGTCACGGCGAGTCTAATGGTGGTCCTAGTTTTGCGCTAGGTGGTCTAGAATTGCTAAAAATTGAGTTTGAAAATTTGATGTGATCAATTTTGAGCAGCTTTCGCTATTACTTGGCCAAAAAAAAGAGGCATTGATCTCAAGTTTAGTAGGTATGTGGATAGAAGACGGTAGGGACTATTAATAGTTATTGCGTTTTTTCGAAATTCGAAACGAAACACTTCTAGGGAATTTTTCTCCCTAGGATATTAAAAAAATATTTTTTGGGGTCAAAATCTAAAAATTTTACAAATCTGAAATATCAGTTATATAGCCTTGTAAATTCTACACCTTTTATGTTCAAAACATTTTTCTGTATCTTCAAAGCTGTAGACATGACAGCCCTTCCCGCGAAACCTTTTTTGGGGGCCTTAAAGGGACTATCCCACCTTCTAAAATGTTGTTAAAACCAGTTAAATTGTGCCCGACTTTATAGATTGGATGACCAGGAACACGGTTCTGGCATTTATTTTTCATTAAACATCTTAGGCTTCCCATATTCCAAACACAAACTTTCAAATATGTGACGTCACAGCCCAAAATTACCTCCTTCCCCAGGCCACATTACTGTCATAAAACTGATTCTTTTTACTCTGTAGGCACCACAACAAAGTTCAGACCAAGTTTTAAGCGATTTTTCAACGAACAAACCCATTTAAATCAGAATGACTAAACGAGGTGACGTCACACTAACGGTCGCTCCATGTTGAAGATAGGGCCTTGTACAAGGCCCATTTTCAAATGAAGGGAACGAATTTCTTCAACACCAAGAGGCCGCGGGGGTTGCAACCTAGATAGATAGTGGTTTCTGAACCTCGCCGCAAACTTGGCTATCTCAACTCAAACCCCATGTTAAAGGTGGGATAGTCCCTTTAACCTCGCCGGCACAGGCCATTTTGCGTCCTTCGACGGCACAATGGTACGACCCCCCCCCCCCCTCGCCTTTGGCCCCTGATCGAGCTAGAGCTTCGCGGAAAAAGGAGCGTGCTGCCCGTGACGAGAGGAAGCCGATGATACCCAATTTTAAGGTCCTAGATCATCGGTTGACCTTCCAGGTCAATGACCCAAAAGTCGGGAAAATCGGAACCTGTCAGGGGCGGCGCTGACCTATTGAAAGTAGGTAGGCACTTGGTAGGTAAGGCAGAAAATCTGAATGCGGAATAGGTAAAGGAGAGGGGGGAAGACAGCCTTATTGCTTAGTCGGGATGCGTCAAGCAGCGACAGCAGCGTCATCTACAAAAACCATCAACTTAACTAGAGCTTACACGTCTGCCGCCAGAGGCAGACTAGTCTCTCAGTAGGAGTCTAGTTCGTTCAATATAATTTTTAAGTAACAATAGAATAACGCAACAAGCATAACAACGCTACGTACGCTGAACTTATGATATAATTGATAAAGTAAAATGTCCTTTATTTTACGATAAACGGACATTTTAAAAAGTTAGGTTTGAGAGTTAGAAGGTAGCACCTAGTCGATGTGCCGACCATCTAGACCTTTTCTACCAAAAGGCTCAATAGCCTCAGCATGGCAATAGTCGATAATCTAGTAGGACGAGGTAGGCACAACTTAGGCAAAGGTTTTCGTCAAGGTTCTTATAGTACGATCTTTGGGTGACGTTTTTTGAAAAGTTTAGGAAATTCTCTTTCGTTTCAACGCATTTTGAAAAACGATAAACAAGATTTTTAACAAAAGCAATCAAGCAAACATAAGCCACGATATAGTGATGATTTAGACGCAGGGGAGACGGCAATTGACGTAGGCACTGCCTACCTTGCCTATATGGGAGAACCGCCCCTGGAACCTGTTAGAACGTCGTAAAGTGTGGCTGCCATGGGCTTTTCCGGGGTGCTGATCACGAATATCATGATAGCTCTCTCTCTCTCTCTCTCTCTCTCTCTCTCTCTCTCTCTCTCTCTCTCTCTCTCTCTCTCTCTCTCTCTCTCTCTCTCTCTCTCTCTCTCTCTCTCTCTCTCTCTCTCTCTCTCTCTCTCTCTCTCTCCTCTCTCCCTCTCTCCCTCTCTCCCTCTCTCCCTCTCTCCCTCTCTCCCTCTCTCCCTCTCTCCCTCTCTCCCTCTCTCCCTCTCTCCCTCTCTCCTCTCTCTCTCTCTCTCTCTCTCTCTCTCCCTCTCTCCCTCTCCCCCTCTCCCTCTCCCTCTCCCTCTCCCTCTCCCTCTCCCTCTCCCTCTCCCTCTCCCTCTCCCTCTCTCTCTCTCTCTCTCTCTCTCTCTCTCTCGCTCGGACCCTTGCCTATGAACCCTCTCCCACAGATAACTACTCTAGCCCTCCGGCGACCCTCCCCCCCCCGCTGGTATCCCAGTCCCTTCTAACGTTCCCCCTGCCGATCTCCCAGCCTCCTCCGATACCCCCAGCTAACCCCCTAACGCCCCCCCCCCCCCCCCCGCCACCAGCCGCTGGTAGACGGGTACCGGAACAAAGAAGAATACAAGATCGGCGAGGGCGCTGACGGCCATCCGCGCACCGTCGGCTTCATCTTCTCGAGTCCTTCGCGCGGGCCCCCGCTCTGTCTGCCCGGCGACCGGTTGCGAAACTGCCGGCCAGAGCACGCCCGCACTGCCCTGGTAGGTGAGGCACGCTCTCGGCACGCCCCATGGTTCTGGTAGGCGAGGGCCGGACGGAGCACGGGCCTGGCAGGCGAGGGCCGGCCGGCAGCCTATCGCATCACACCGCGGCCCGGTCACAGCGGCCCGGTCACAGCACACAGCGGCCCGGTCACAGCGGCCCGTCACACTACACCGTGGCCCGCTCACAGCGGCCCGGTCACAGCACACCGCGGCCCGTCACAGCGGCCCGTTCACAACGGCCCGTCACACCACAGATCAGCCCGGTCACAGTACACATCAGCCCTGTCACAGCACACAGCGGCCCGTCACAGCGGTCCGTCACAGCACACCGCGGCCCGTCACGGCGGCCGGCGGTCCGGCGGTCCGGTCTCGGCCCGATCGTTCGCCCCTTGTGACGCTGTGCTGACGCCCGCTGGAAGGCGTTTCGGCAGTCTGACGGTACGCTCCTGCGCGCCAGGCGTTCCAGCAGTTTGTGCGCGAGTCGCCGCTGGCTGCGTGCAGTCGGCTGGACGACGGCGGCCACTGGCGCTCGCTGCTGGTGCGCAGCAGCCGCGCCGGCCACCTGCTGGCCGCCGTCACGCTGCACCCGCAGCGGCTGGAGCCGGCCGCCATCGAGGCTGAGAGGCGCCGGCTGGCCGAGTTTTTCCGCGCCGGCCCGGGCGCCCACTGCCGGCTGGACGCGCTCTTCTTCCAGGAGTGGTGAGTCTGCCGCGCGCGCTCTGAGGTGACGGCGACGGCATGGTTATAGCTCATAGGTATAACAAGGTCATAACCTGACCGAAAATGGTCATGTTGCATATCAGTCGATCTGTATCGTCGAGCTAACAAATCTAATGCGTTTTCGTCGCTCTAGCATGCATCTATCAAAAGGAATTTGTGAAAAAACTGTTAGATACCATTCGCGACCTGAGATGACCTCAGGGACATAAACAGGGGTCACGGACACCATTTTCATGTTCAGTGTTCTTAAGATACTTGTAATTCATTGTTTGGGAGTGTTTACTGTTTATAATGGCTTTCGTCCAAAAGCGGCGCATTTCAGTTTTCTCCCATTGACTTATTGTTTGACCTGACCTTAGGTCATCGATATCAAAATTCTGAGACATACATTTTGTACATGCTATTGCTCTTAGCAATCGCTGAAAGTTTCAAAGCGATCGGTCACTCGGTGTAGCCATGACAGACATTGAAACTTTTAATGAGGTGAGGTCTTTTCAAGTGACCTGGTGACCTGACCTTGAAAGACCTTGGTATGAAATTTTCACAGCATGTGTAGAATTGATGTATGATAAGGTGTGGCCGCCGTTTTTTAGATATTCGCGAAAACCACAGGCCCGGGTGAACCACAGGCCCACAGGCCCGGGTGAAAATTTATGCGGAGCTGGGAGGGTTCGGCCGCAACAAATCCGCCGCCGCCCTAGCGGTGACCTTGACCTCCGCGGTCTGTTGCGGCTCCAAAGCCAAGCCGGCGTCGAATTTGGAGAGCTCGGGCCCTTCCAGCTCGGCACAAAGTTCCACCTATGGGGGGGAGGTTCAAACATTATCAGTCGATCCTTATAGTCGAGGTGTTCAAACACCCCCCCCCCCCCGTTCCAGCAGGGCGCGGGTTAAGAGAGGCCTTACATCCTAACTGGTTTACAAAATGCAACGTGTAAGGTGCATATTGGCTAAGAAGTGTTTCATTTGTTTGACCTATCTGAGCTCGATGTTTACCTCCCGAGTCGTCACCATTATCCTGTCGTCTCTGCCGTTCCACTCCCCTGAGCGGCGCCCCCCGCCGTGTGCTCCCTGAGCGGCGCCCCCGCTGTGTGCCCCCTGAGCGGCGCCGCTCGGTTTGACGCTGTCCGCGCGGCCAGCGGGCACGCGCGCTGCTCGGCCGACCAGGCGCCGTACCAGCGTCTGTTCGGTGCGGCGGCGCTGGAGGAGCGGCTGGGCCACGTGCGGCTGCTCGTGTCTCCGGGCTCGTTCCTGCAGGTGAACGTGCCGGCCGCCGAGCAGCTCTACCGGGTGGTGGAGGAGAGCGCGCGCCTGACGCCCGCCTCTGTGCTGCTGGACCTCTGCTGTGGCACCGGTGAGCCGCCGGCGACCGGCCCGGACCGGCGCTCTCTGCCGAGGGGGCGCTGTTTGTTGGAATTTGGAGATATTTGGGATTATGCTCTCGCAGTTTCTAAGACTACCTTTTCTGGATGCGCCATTACCAGAAAGTTTGCGGGGTTATGATCAATGACGTCCGTATGGTTAATTGTTTGAAGTGTTGAACGGACCCAAGTCGCTCGACAACAGCTTATCATTGCCGACGATCTCACGTCAGCTGGTTCGGTCCGTTAGTCCCAAGTCCCTGGGTTACTGGTAAATGTCTGCCCCCCCCCCCCCGCAGGCCCGGTCATTATGTCACTGAGTCATTGAGTGATCCCCCAGTCAGCATGTCACTGAGCCACTGACGATGTCCCCCGCAGCAGCTGCGGGGGACACTCACCGGGCCTGCTCCCGGTGAGTCTGTCACTGTGTCCCCCCACCCCCACCCCCTCCCCCCACCCCACCCCCGCAGGTCCGATGAGTATGTCACTGTGTCATTGACAGTGCCACCCCCCTCCCCCTCCCCCGCAGGCCCGATGAGTTTGTCACTATGTCACTGACAGTGCCCCTCCCCCGCAGGCCCGGTGAGTTTGTCACTGTGTCACTGACAGTGTCCCCTCCCTGCAGGCCCAGTGAGTCTGCTGCTGGCCCGCCGCTGCCGCCAGTGTATCGGTATCGAGGCGACGCCCAGCTCCGTACACGACGCGAAGGAGAACGCCCGGATCAACGGAATTCATAACGTGGAGTTCATCAGCGGCAGGGTAGAGCAGGTCCGTGGCACCCCAATGTTTCGATCTGTAACGTGGAGTTCATCAGCGGCCGGGTAGAGCAGGTCCGTGGCACCCTAATGTAGCGATCTGTAACGTACCGTACTAAATCGCTCCGTACTGTACATAATGCACCGTAGTGTGGCATAACGCACCGTTTCGTGATGCTGTTTGCCATTCCTGCACGGTATCTTGCACGGTGGCAGTGTAGTCTGCCTACCGCGTTGTATCGTACGGCGTGTCTGCATTACTCACCGGGCCATCGCTGTCTCGGGTGGTGGCGCGGGATTACTACGCATTTCCAGGCGAAAACGGAAGGGTGGTGGCAAGTGTTTAGGTGTGTTTAAATTTAAGTGTTTAAGTTTGGCTAGTGAAGGAGGTGCTTGGCTAGTGTTTACCCTTGTTATTATCATTTCGATTTTTAGTTGTGATTGTCATTTTTCTAAAAATGGATTACTGTGATAATCTAGCTTGGAGCGCCCATGAATTTGAGATTCAGAGAATGCCTCTATGCTCGACGTGCCAGCGCTGCTGCCGCCGCTGCCGGCCGCTGCAGCTGCCCACAATGGCGGCTGACGCTTCCTCTGGGTGTGCGCAGGAGCTACCGCACGTGCTGGCCGACCTGGAGCTGAGCTCCGACCTGGTCGCCGTGGTGAACCCCGGCCGGGACGGCGTCGGTGAGTGGCGCGGGGGGGGGGGCAGACAGGACAGGCCGGAGCAGCTGAACTGAACCCAGCCGGGACGGTCGCTGAGTGGGGTGGAGGGGAGGAGAGGAGACAGACCAGGGCAGGCTGGAGGGGAGCCGGACCCGGTGGGGACGGGTCGCTGAGTGGGGAGGAGAGGAGACAGACCAGGGCAGGCTGGAGGGGAGCCGGACCCGGTGGGGACGGGTCGCTGAGTGGGGAGGAGGGGAGGAGAGGAGACAGACCAGGGCAGGCTGGAGGGGAGCCGGACCCGGTGGGGACGGTGTCGCTCAGTGTGTGTGACGCCTTGCTCGCCCTGCTCCGGCAGCACCGCGCGTCATCGATCAGCTGGTGGCGGCGCCGCGGCTGCGCCGGCTCGTCTACATCGCCTGTCAGCCGGACCACCGTCGGACGGCGGCCAACCTGGCGGCGCTGTGCCGGCCGCCGGCCGCCGGCCGGCCGCTGCGGCTGGCGCGCGCCACGCCCGTCGACCTGTTCCCGCACACGGACCACCTGGAGCTGGTGCTCACCTTCGAGCGGTGACCGACACCGGCGCAGGGGTGCCGCGGTGACCGGCACCGGCACAGTGGTGCGGCCGGTGACCGGCGCCGGGGTGACGCGATGACCGGCACCGGACGTGCCGCGGTAACGCGGTGAGCTCAGAATGTGATATGCTGACGTGGCGCCGCCCGGTGCCCAGTATTCAGGTGACGGATACTGGTGGAGCAGTGTAATGTGCCGGTAGGGATGCCAGAATTATCGTCCATGTCTTACTGGAGTGGACATGTTTTTGCTGTGCAGTTGTCATTGAAAAATCATGTCATGGCTGATCGTCAAGTCGCACATATGTGATGTTTTTGATATTTGCATTGAGGGCTACGACGTCCATCACCGTACAATTTTGACATGGTTCCGTCATTTGCAAACAGTATGCCCGGCTGACTGTTTAATAATAAACGCTCACTTTAAACGCTATATGTCAGTGTGCTATGTCACCCAGAGGCGCCACAAATGATATCGTAGTTGCCTCGTTGTCGTCTGATTTTCGATGGCTCGCTGGGCTGTTGGCGCTGGTAACCAGTTGACTCAGTGCCATGGACGCGCTGGTAACCAGTGGACTCAGTGCCATGGACGCGCTGGTAACCAGTGGACTCAGTGCCATGGACGCGCTGGTAACCAGTTGACTCAGTGCCATGGACGCGCTGGTAACCAGTGGACTCAGTGCCATGGACGCGCTGGTAACCAGTGGACTCAGTGCCATGGACGCGCTGGTAACCAGTTGACTCAGTGCCATGGACGCGCTGGTAACCAGTTGACTCAGTGCCATGGACGCGCTGGTAACCAGTGGACTCAGTGCCATGGACGCGCTGGTAACCAGTGGACTCAGTGCCATGGACGCGCTGGTAACCAGTGGACTCAGTGCCATGGACGCGCTGGTAACCAGTGGACTCAGTGCCATGGACGCGCTGGTAACCAGTGGACTCAGTGCCATGGACGCGCTGGTAACCAGTTGACTCAGTGCCATGGACGCGCTGGTAACCAGTGGACTCAGTGCCATGGACGCGCTGGTAACCAGTGGACTCAGTGCCATGGACGCGCTGGTAACCAGTTGACTCAGTGCCATGGACGCGCTGGTAACCAGTGGACTCAGTGCCATGGACGCGCTGGTAACCAGTTGACTCAGTGCCATGGACGCGCTGGTAACCCATTGACTCAGTGCCATGGACGCGCTGGTAACCAGTGGACTCAGTGCCATGGACGCGCCGGTAACCAGTGGACTCAGTGCCATGGACGCGCTGGTAACCAGTTGACTCAGTGCCATGGACGCGCTGGTAACCAGTGGACTCAGTGCCATGGACGCGCTGGTAACCAGTGGACTCAGTGCCATGGACGCGCTGGTAACCAGTGGACTCAGTGCCATGGACGCGCTGGTAACCAGTGGACTCAGTGCCATGGACGCGCTGGTAACCAGTGGACTCAGTGCCATGGACGCGCTGGTAACCAGTGGACTCAGTGCCATGGACGCGCTGGTAACCAGTGGACTCAGTGCCATGGACGCGCTGGTAACCAGTTGACTCAGTGCCATGGACGCGCTGGTAACCAGTGGACTCAGTGCCATGGACGCGCTGGTAACCAGTGGACTCAGTGCCATGGACGCGCTGGTAACCAGTGGACTCAGTGCCATGGACGCGCTGGTAACCAGTGGACTCAGTGCCATCCACGCGCTGGTGACTAGTCGACTCATCGTCATGGATGTATTATTTTACTTGGATGTTGCGAACTTCACATAGTATATCAAAACTGATGTCTTTTTCAGGGTACATAGGCCGGTTTTACGAATATAAGAATCGTCTGCTGCAGTTTTTAGTTTAAGTCCGCGTGTTTCACCACGCGAAAACAAAATATGATGGACACCAGAATGACTTAGCCATTCGATCTGGACAAACAGGCATCAAAATATCGTCATCCATCTATTCCGATCACGACGGCACCCGAAATGGGCGGGACGAAATGAGCAAGTTATACACTAACGGTGTCCACCCGAGTGGGAGGGCCAGGGCTCCACTCTATTCTATTCTATTTTCTATTCTACATGTCTGCGGAATGTGAACAACGGACTCCTGATAACTTCATGGTGTTATACATACATATCAGAACATTGCTGGTAGGTAGTAGTTTTATCTGAATACTGGTACTTTTGACACGAGGGAAAAGCGTACCCAACTTTGGTACTCCCCCTGTGCGTTGGGTATTCGAGTCGAGCCCAAATTGGGCGCAACCAAGGGCGCTACTGCGGCGGCTGAAGTCGCTGGGAGAGCGAAGGACCAGACACCTTCGCAGGACCATTCAGTCAACTGTTCCAACGGCAGTGGATTTATCGCTTCTATGCGTGTGGTACTACGACAATGTGATCGATGAAAACTTTATTAAATGAATGACGATCGCTCATAACACTTGTACTACTGGTGAAAACACGCGGCGCAAGCACCAGTTCGGCACCACACAACACCACCCCACCAACACCAACTCTGCGGAGCTCTGAAATAGGTACTGCTCGGGTAGCGATAAACCGCCATCAACATAACGTGGTATGGATGAATGCAGCACTGTCTTTAGAAACCTGGCTTAAATACGATAAAAAGGCACGCTCTCGTATTATGTAGTAGTCTTTTTTACAACACGAACAGTGAACACCCACGATCCTTTCCAGCTGCGATGATAGAAAATAACGATGCTAGGAACGTCTCCTTCGATACACAATTGACATGACAGACAAGGACGAGAGGGGCGGGATGGACAGTCTGACCCTACCGGCTCTGCACGAAGACGGTGTCGTGCGGGTGCAGGCCGGCCTCGCGCAGCGTCTGGTCGGCCCGCTCCGGTGCGGACAGCTCGCGCCGCGGGAAGGTGGCCAGCAGCACGTGCTCCCGGGCCGGGTAGCCGAGCTGCTGCACGTACTCGGTGACGCAGCGCAGCCGAGACGAGCAGGGCAGCTCGAGCTGCAGCCGGCTGCCGTCGGGTAGGCGCAGCGCCAGCGTCCACGACGGGTCGGTGGCGCTGCCCAGGTGGCGGCGCCACTCCTCCGCCGCCGCGCCGACAGACACCGGCGCACACTGCGGTCCCCGACTGCCGGCACCGCACGCCGGTTTGCCATCACCGACACCGTTTTCGGTTGGAGATTTCGCCTCTGTGTTGTCGCCCTGGGTGGTTCTGTGATCGGCGGCCGATCCGCTGCCGTTGGTTCCGTTCTCAGTCCCTGTTTTCGTCTCCGCGGCGGTCCGCTCCGGCGCCGTCTCCGCAGTGGTCCGCTCCGGCGCCGTCTCCGCAGCGGCCCGCTCCGGCGCCGTCTCCGCTGTACCGCTGCGCTCCTGGTCGGCCGGGCCGCCGTCCCCGGTCGCTCTGGGTGGCCTGTCGCCGCTCTCGGGCGGGCGGTGGGCCGGCGGCGCCGGCGACACGCGCTCGCTGCGCCGGCTCGGCGACAGCGGCGCCGAGGTCACCGTCGACAGATCGGCGCTTTCGGCCCAAAAGTCGGCGTCGTCCTCGTCCGAGTCCGAGTCGGGCACGACGGGTCGGCGCCGGCCGCTGGGCTGGTCGTGCTGCAGCGACTTCTCGATAGCCAGTCGCAGCTGCGCCTCCTCGTCCAGCTCCAGCACGCTGTCCACACGCGGCCGCTTCGGCGTCGGCGGAGCGTCCTCCGAGAACTTGTGCGCCTCCAGAAAGTCGATGAGCAGTTCGATGGCCGAGTTCTTGTCCAATTTGGACCAGGTTCGTAGCAGTTCACCTGTGCGCGGGTCGAGAATCGCGACGTAAGGCCAGCTGGACACAGGGTAGAACGTCTTGTACTTGAGTCCTTCGCTACTCTCGTGGTACACCTGCCAAAAGATGAAGTTTGCTCGTACAATGTCGCGCACCTTGTGCGAGGACCAGACGTCGCGGTTGAGGACCTGGCAGGCGAACTCCTCCGTGTTCTGCACGTTCACCATGAGCCACTTGTTGTCGGCGATGCCCTGGTCCCTGGCCGCCTGGAAGGTGCCGCGGAATATCAGCTCCAGCGGCGGCCGGAATATCTCCTCGAGCGTCTGCAGCTTGTAGCGCTCCGGGTGGTCGGCGCCGGCCGGCGCGGCCCGCTGGCTCGGCCCCGGCCCGGCCAGCTGCGACTCCTGCAGCCGGATCTCGGCGCTGAAGTCGCGGAACTTGTCAAACACAGAGTCCGTCTGGCGGAGCCGGCTGCGCCGCGAGGGCAGCGCGTAGTTGGCCGCGCTGTGCGCCGGGTCGAGCATCACCTCGGCGCGCGGCGGGATGGGCGCGCGCACGGCGCCCTCCACCTCGCTGGCCGCCGCCGCCGGCGCCGGAGAGCAGCGCTCGGCGTCCGCGCCGTTGGAGGCCGGCTCCGGCACACGCTCCGCCTCAAAGTGTATGTTGATGGCGCGCTGCACGCTGCCGCCGGCGGCGGCCAGCAGGGCGGCGGCGCGCTGCCGGTCGGCCGCCGTCACCGCCATGATCTGCTCTAGCTGTGAGTCCGAGTCGGCCGGCGGCGGCGACACGGCACCGCCTTCCCTGGCCGACGGTTTGGACATGGCGCCACCTCGAACAGTTACAGCTCCTGGAGAAAGGCAGCACATATGTCTTGACAAATAAACATGAATGAAAAATATGGGTATGGAATAACATCAGCACACCAAATACTCATATTAACACTAATCAACAATCAGAATTAACAACAAAAGCAACACAAAATGTTTGTATGAAGCATAAATACTGTCCTCCCACTCCCCCGTGCTGAACTTCAAACCCAGGGATAACAGGGAGCTTGCAGAACACGTGTCCTCCCAATACTGTCCTCCCACAGAGTCATTGGAGCCCCCCCCCCCCCCAGGTTGCCTCATATGCTACTCCTAGGTAAACAAGATTTAGATAATTGGATTAGACTGTAACTAAGCATGCACAATAAAAGATCCATATAGAACAAATTTCCATCCAAGCGTTCTATATGAGACATTTTGATTTACTGCCAAAAGTAGGCTGGGTGGACTGGGTGGGGTACACCACAAAACAGACACTGCCACATCACAAGGAATATGGACAAAGCACATCAAGGGGATATGTCCTTCACTCTTCAGCATCTAAAATAGATGAAAATTGAATTGATAGTGTGAATCCACACCAGAAAAACCATACACTACACCAGACACCTCAGGGATTCTAATGCGTCGCAATTCAGCAAGCAATTTTGCGCTGAAATGTTAGCACAACTTGCACCAAAAGTTAAAGCTTATTTGTACCAAATTTTAACCTTTTTATCATTTAAGGCTTAAGCACATGTACATGCTTATCTATCCATTCCCATACAAAATAAAAAGTTTGATATATCATAACATGGAGACTGGATAAAAAGCAAGTAAAACAATTTTTCTGCCATGAGCTCAGAGTTCTTTCAAACAAGGCCATCTATAGACTTCCAATTTAAAATGAGAGAGGACACAAGGCTGCTATATGAATATGGTATACAAATATGATGCCTTTAGGTGTACCAGGTGTAGCCTTTTGACTTAATTTTGACTCAGATAAGCACCCAATTTACGGTGGCAAAATTTGCATAAATTTCTGTGCAAAATTGCTTGCGCTGAATTTTGGCGCATGAGGGTCTCACGGGCATCCAGCGTAGTGTATGGATGTTTTCCAGTCCCAGTCTGCAAAACGTGGCAGCCAGCTCGACGAGGTGTTTGGGGCAGCCGGAATCCTGCCCCAAATGGGGCAGTTGACTTCCGGGCAGCCCGATTTCTGCCCCAAATGGGGCATCTAATCGGGGCAGGTTAGATTATGCCCTAAATGAACTACCTACCTATATATGGCATAAAAAACACACATATTAATACATTACCCGTGCAAATGCTGAAGTCGGTCGCGGTTGAAACTCTAAACAATTTTTTTACGAAAGGATCTGCTCATTGATCAAGGTTATATATAAAGCAGCTAGTGCTCCGGTTAAAATAAAATGATGATAAACCCCACGTCCGATGTCTCTCGGACGACGCAGATTCTACGTCGTCCGACCAATCACGTTCCATAACCGCAGCCGAGCCCCCGCTGACCTTGAACGGGATTGGCCGGACGACGTAGAATCTTCGTCGTCCGAGAGACATCGAACACGGGGGCAGTTAGGGTGCAAAACTGCCTCATGTTGCCATGGCAACAGCGAATCAATCTGGAGCGAGGGGCGCATTTTGTTTTTGCAGCAAAAGATAGGCGCTACCCGGACAATGCCCCAGCCCGCAATGCATAATTGAAAAACTGAAATTACACCTTGTCTCGAGGCTCGACGGTGATCAGCTAGCTTGATGGCTTGGTTCCAAGTGTGCCGAGCCGAGTGTGCTAGTCTCGTAATCTGTAGGTCGCCGGTCGCGTGTTCGCGGCATCATTTGGCCGGACCGCCCGGACGGCAACTATGTCATATGTGAGGGTTATACGGCACATTTATGAGTGTTCGATTAGGCTAGGTATGGTTTGGTTTGATTTGATTTGATTCGATTTGGTTAGGGTAGAAAGGAGTTAGCTCCGGGAGCACATTTTCTTGGTTGCTAATACGAAACACGGCGCGTAAAACATTCATAGCCCTGATGAAGGGAAGTTTGAATATGGCAGCAGTTTTAAATGACAGTTTCTGCGCTTTAGCGACGATTGTGGCGCAGCCCACTTTTTCTCGCGCGTTTCAACAATACTCCGCTTCTTTATTATTTTCTCCCGGTACCGTGTGCCCCGCCCCGGTCCGCCCCGACTGCAAACGGTCTGCCCCGGAATCGCCGAACTGTGCCCCGACTTCTCAAAAGCTGCCCCGATTTCTGCCCCTGCCCCACTGTGTCTGCCCCGACGAGATCTCGTCGAACCCTGCCACGTTTTGCAGATTTGCAAATCCAGTCTAGTTTGAATATAGTGTAGCAATAAAAGTTAAAGGGACACTCCCACCTTAACATTAGTTTTGAGTTGAGATAGCCAAATTGGTGGCCATGGCCTGCAAATACCGGTTTGGGCACTCACAACATCGACAAATGCTTTAATTCGGAGATATGGAATTTCAAACTTGCAGTTTTCGGATTCTAAGGGGCTAGTGCATTGGTATGCCCCCTTAGAATTTGTGACGTCAGCGGAGATCTAACGATTTTTAAATCTTTTACTAAAACGTTTGGTAGCACGCGGTGGTATATGCTGCTTTGCGCGCAACAAATGCCGCACTTTCAAATAAAGTCGCTAGGAACAGCGGAGATCCCAAAAAGTAAACAAAAGTAAAAGTCTAATATCTTGAAAACCGGTGAATATTTTTCGATGAAATTTGGTAGATATTCGTTTTCGCTCTTTCTGAACCGAGCGACATCACTTTCGTGCCAATTCATTAACTTTTTTGAAGGTGGGAGGGTCCCTTTAACTCTGATTATATATTATCATCTGTGCACTGTGCAGTCAACCTTCCGGTAGGCGATACCACAACTTACCTTAACTTACTTAACAAATCTGAATGGTAGATAGGTGGTATATTGATAAGCGGCCTTGCGTTTAGCTACCCTGGCGTTTAGGGCCTTGGCCTTGCGGAGGACGCGTTCTTGGACGCGTTATGCACGCATAAATGGTGTCAACTGTCAACTGTCAACTTCATTACTTTTGGGCAAGGACAATTGATGGCGCTACCACCCTTAATACCACGTGATGTTATGGTAAATGCAATATCACTATTTCTTTATTAAAAAGTTGTTAAATTTGTCACCAGCTAAATCTTGTTTTTCCAATAAATATTAATTTGTATATTCAAAAATTATTTGTTCACTTCTTTTAAGACTAAATTTTGAAACAATAAAATCAATAATGTCACATGCAGTCACTTGGCTATGACAGGGTTATTGCACGCAGCATGCTTACCAAAGTAGATGCTTACCAAAGTAGAAAGGAAAGAGGCAAAGGGAGCGGGTTGCTCATGGGATGCTGCCTCTTCTCAGTGTACGGACATGTTTATCATATCTGTTTTTGAAGGTATTGGTGTTCTTGCTCAGTACAACTTCAGATGGTAGTTGATTCCAGTGGTCCACCACTCTCGAAGTGAAGAATTGGTTCCGCCTGTGTAGCCGGTGTCTTGGCTTCTGTAGTTTGAGTGCATGTCCCCGCGTCCTCTGCATGTTCGCACCAGTCTCCATTCTCAGGAACTCCTCTCCAGCATTCACCTTGTCGAGCCCGTGCATCAGTTTGTATACCTCAATCATATCTCCCCTGATCCTTCGCTCTTCCAGTGTTGTCAGCTGGAGTTCCTTCAAACGATCCGGGTACGGAAGGTCGGCGAGTTCAGGGACGAGCTTCGTAGCCCTCCTCTGAACCCTCTCCAGCTTCATGATATCCTTTTGGAGGAACGGGGACCAGGCTTGTATGGCGTACTCCATGTGGGGGCGCACCAGAGTTTTGTAAATAGGCAGGAACATTCCCTTGTCCATGTAGGTGAATGTTTTCCTCACTCTTCCTAACATGGAGTTCGCTGCTGCTGCTGCTCTGGTCACTTGCTCTGAGACCTTGAGGTCCGGTGTAATGACGATTCCCAGATCTTTTTCTTTTGCAGATGTATCAAGACATACACCTCCCATCATGGGTATTTATTTACTTTAGGACCGGCAGCCTTTACTTTCGTCGCGAACCCCAAGTGATAGTAAGAAGCATATCACATGACATAATTTGACCTTTTGATTTCATAGCTGATAGTCATTCATGGCACAAACAAGTTTAAATGCACCAGTACAATATTTACCGTCACCGCTGTAGATCCCCACTGACTGCGTACTCCACCGGCCACGAACTGCGCTCCAAGTTTTAGTGAATACATATTTACGATGCTATTCAACTGTGAGGAAAGTGACGTCATGAAATTTCACGTCGCGAAGCAGCGGCAGTGCCGAAGGCAATGCCTTAGGAGAGATTACAGGCAATGGTAGGTCAAATATTTTTAGGTTAAGTGGTTGTGTATTTGGCTTCAGGCCGAAGGCCTGAAGCCTAATGCACAATCACTTAACCTAAAAATATTTGACCTACCATTGCTTGCAATCTATTCATGCGAGCAACTTTTTCCTTATCCCCGGGTAGGCAAATATCAGTAGGTCAGGTTAGGTAAGGTTAGGTTATGTTCTGATAATTTTTTCCGTGTTTGATTTGCTATCCTACCCCATATCAACCCCGGTTCCCAACATTTCCCCTATTTTGTTTGGTATTATGACGTCATTTTCATTGAATTAAACATGCACACATTTTTCCTTTTCGCAAATGGCAACGGCACAAACACGTTGTTTATATTTATATCCTAATCGCCGCATTCGTATAATTTCATCGGTGTACGTTACGTGACGCGGGGTGAGATGGCTGGATTTTATCAAGTTTTTGTGTGACTTTTTGCAGTTTTGGTGACAAGTAAGTATCATTTCTTGATTTAGGATGTCAAATAATGGAAGATTGTCGAAAATTTCCCTTTGAAAAAGTGTGCCGGTCCTAAAGTAAATATTTACCCCATCATGTATGTGTATCCTGGGTTATTGGACCCAAAATGCATTACTTTGCACTTATCCTCGTTAAAGCTCAGAAGCCACTTCTTGGTCCATAGTTGCAGTCGGTGGATATCCTCTTGGAGGTCGATCCTGTCATTGGGGCTCCTTATCCTCCTGTAGACTTTAGCATCGTCTGCGAAGAGCTTCCCAGAT